AAAATCTTACGTGTAAGACGAATTAAATAAAATAAAATATTAATTTTATTATTTGTTAAGGGAGTAACGAAGCTGTAATAAAAATTGCATTGGTTCTATAGAAGGAGAAGAAAGGAAAGAAGAAGGTGATGCAGACAAATTCACTCTTTCCAAAAATTACTGGACGGAAGTCAAAGTCTGTATTTGTGTCATTAACCTGAATGGGTTAAAAGTTTTCTACATTTTCGTTTTATACCACTGCCATTTTTACAAACAACAATGGCTCCTTTCACCCTCCCTCAATAAACAACAAATGGCAATATTCCGAAGAGAACTAAATAAAATTGAATTTCTGTACATTAAAATAATAATAAATAAATTAGTTAAAGTTTATTCATTTTATTTTCATGTATAAATCTAGATTTTATTTTTAAAATAACTAATTTTAATGCATTATTTTTGGCTACTTGATAGCTCTTTAATTTACTCAAAATCCTAAAAATAGTTTTAAAATATGATAAAAAATTTTATGAATTTATTATTTACAAGAAAAATCATTTTTAAAAATAAAAAAATTCGAATTTATTTTATATAAAAATGCCCAACTCGCAGTAAAATATCACCTCGTTTAGGTAATATTGAAACATTTTTAATGGCAAAAAAATGTATAAATTATTTTTAAAATTAAATTAAAATATAATTTAAAAGTTTTTAAATTTATTTTTTAATTTAAAGTAAATAAAAATACTTTAAAATTATTTTTAAAATAATTTTTCCCCTACAATAAACACAACTCCATTAAAATTTTGAAGCAGTGTTTATTAATATTAAACATCTTTAAATATTAAAAAAAATTTAAGTTATAAAAAGGGTATAAAAATGTAATTAAACAACTGATTAATTTATTTTTAATAAAAATACTTTAACTCGATTTAAGGAATTTTTAATTTTATATAAAATACACAAATCACATTAAAAATTTAACGCGTTATTTAGTTATATGACACTTTAAAATGGAGGAAAAAGTATAAAAATATTTTTTAAAATAATATAAAAATAAATGATTATAATAAATAAATGTTTGTAAAAATATATAAAACAAAAATATCTCAAAATATAAAGAAAAACATTAAAAAAATACGTTGAGAAATGCGAGAAGGTTGGAATATTTTTAAAGTGACAATTAATAAAAGATGATTAAATGAATTAATTTATTCTGACAAAAGTTCGTTAAAATGAATAAAATTTAGTAACTCTTTTGCATTAAGAATAAGGGGAGTGAAGTTAATCAAGTTTATAATTATGAAATTTTACAAATGCCATTCTCTGTCATCCCATAATTATGCAGAAATTTCAAAATTAGAATATTGTCATTCAAATCAAATTTTAGTTATGAGAAATATTTCTATATAATTATTCTATTTTAATATTAAAATATTAAAAAATAAGGAAATTATTCTTCGAAACACTTTAAAATTAAACTAGAAAGTTAATTTATAAGCGTATAAAGTCGTTAACTAATAATGGAGCCAATACTTGGTGGAACTTCTTATAATTTAATTAATTATGATTCGTGCAATTTTGCCATGAATTTATGCCGCTATTTTTGTATTTTTTAAAGTAGAAATTGTAATTTTTTATTGTATTTTTATGTATCGATAGGTTTCGAACGAATCAATACCGAAGAAAAGATCCTTTTACCGAAATGGATCAAGTCACAAACTGTGATTTTTAAGTAAAAGTCAATCACGAGGAAAGAATGAATCATAGGAAAAGACCAACTTTAAAGTCGATTTTTAATATTTAAATATAATTTTTACAAAATTATAAAAGTTTTACGAGTAAAATATATGCTTTATTCTATTATAATTAATTATTTTAAATAAAATTTTTAATTATTTATTAAGCGTAAATAGCTGACAAATGAGGGAGGTTCATTGAGTACAAATGAGAAGTTATTACATCTAAATACATAAAATAAATAAAAATAATCCAATTTTTATCTTTGAAATTAAATTATTTAACTATAAAAGATTTAAATTATATAAGATTTAATTTAATAAAAAAATGATTTATTATTAAATAAATAATTAAAAANTACTAAATAATAATAGATTTTAAAGCGTGACGCCACAGGCATAACATGGAAATGCATCTTATGTATTATACCTGGGGCCTCTTCTCTTCTTCTATAATAAATACTAGGTCTGTTCGATTGATTAGAATAGCGCTCATTTTTACGTAAATTTGACGACATTCTTTACAATTTCTCATTGTAAAACTGACGTAAAAATGTGCTGTATTCGAACTCATCCTCTCTACTACATAATAATAAATTTAAAAACGTGGGGCCCTATGCTGTACTTAGGGTCTCTGCTACGTTGTACGTATCACGAGCTCCTAAGTAGTAGCCTTATAAATTTTGTATATAACGTATTAATTCAATTTAAAATTAAATTTAAAAATATATAATTTATAGGGGAAAAAGGGCATTAAAGACTTATAAAATTTGAGAAAGAAGAGGAAACGAAATAACCTCGTTTATCACTCAAAAAAAAGTAAATGCAGTGAAGACGTACGAGAGATGTGTGCGATGTGTCTATCTATAACAGTTGGTGAGGTCATATTTCAAACGGAAAAATAATCATTATTTAAACCTTTAAATATAATTTCTTCTTTTTTAAGGAAAAAATTCTGTAACATTGTAAATATTAGTATTTAGGTAAAAAGATATTTATCGTATGTCCATTGTTGACTTAAATCTGTTTACAATTTTGAGTAGCTGTTGGGGGTGAACAATATGTATGAGATGACGAATGGCAATCTTTGATGGGTTTTCGTTTAGGAAGATGCTTTTTTCTGATATCTGACATATAATATCCTCTCTCCGGGTGACATATTTCTCCAAGTTTCTTTGATTCATGTGACTGAAGATTGATTTTCGTTGAAGAAATTCTTTTGAAAATTTTTCCATTGTAAAAAATATATATATATATCAATATATATATTTAACTTTGTGTCGTGTCCTCAAAATCTTGCAACTCGAATTTCTAATTAAAATACAAGACCCATGACAATGCATTTTAATGATATTTTAGGGGGTGGCCCACCCCTACCATTCTCCTCATCCCGAAGTCCCTTAAGCATAACCAAATATAGAATTTATGGTGTGTATGTTTGTGTGTGTAATGCACTATAATGATGTATATGACGGAGTGAGGCCATCCCTAACATGTTTATCGAAGGGTAAGGCCTTTCTAGAAGAGCATTCGTTTTAGATTTTTAAAAATGTATTAAAATTATTAACTTGGATAATTAAATATTTTATTGATAATAGGATAACTAATAATAGAATCAGTAGAATAACACTAATTATAATTAAAAATCTTAAATAATTAAATACAAACAACTTCATTTATTTACTTTGAAGTATATTCAAGGTCGTAGAAAGGATTCTATATGAAAGAACGAGCTTATATATAGCATCACGTCTTCGCAAGGTTTTCGACTGTCCTCGCTCACCATTCAAGTGTTTGAAAATATTTAGAATAGTTTTAGTCATCATCATGAAGATAAATAATTTATTCGCTCTTATACTTTATTACGTAGCTGATTTTGTTATTAAATAAATGATACTTAATGTATATAAACTAATTATAATATCTAAACCTCTCTAGAAGAAACCAAGAGTTAGATTATACATAAAAAGTTAATGGGTGGTTAATACGGGGAGTTAATAGAGGGATGAAATCAGGGTGGAGTGAGGTTTTATAGTAGCTTATATGTTCCGCTAGATTCTAGAGAGTAAGCATGAAAAATATGTCGTAGATCGGTCAAAGAGGATAGAAGTATAGATGACAGATAACAGACAAACACAATTTTTTTATATATGCTGTATATAAAAGATCTGAAGAAGAAACTAAGAGTTAGGAAATATATACTTGGATCCGCACCCACGTCTATCAATACGTCAAATATTTAAATTTTCAAACTAAATTTTCTTCTTAGAAGACGCTTAACGTTTAAAAAAAGATACATATATACAATAAATTTAATAAATAATAAACAGTATTTCTAGCCGAATTAATTTGCTAATTTTACTCCATAAATGTGAAGAAAAAAAAAAAAAAGAAAATTGTATAGTTTACTTTCGGCTAAACTGAAAGCATTAGATAATTGACGCTGTATTGTTTACAAATCATAGAATTTAATAGGAAATATTATTTCGACAACATCTGTTTTCAGTGTAAATTCAGAGATGTTTCCGTTATTCTTCTCCAACAGCAAACATAAAAAATTTACGATGTTACTACAATGGATGACTTCGATGTCACGTTGTGGCCGATATTTAATGCAAGACTGTCGACAAATGCCATCTGGACCAGCAGTTGTATGACCACTAACTTATGGCAACGACTAACCATGCTAATATCTAAAATTATTAATGCCAGTCACAGATTTCGCACGCGTTATAAAAATTCGAATCGGTGACTAAAATAAAACTTCTTTTTATTTTTTAAAAAGTTCTTTGTTGTTTTTCTTTATCAGACTTTAACTTTATTACAAATTAGTGCTGTATTTATTGTAAATGCAGAAATTAGTCTTGTGTCTTTGTCTTGTAAGATGCCTTTACCCTCCTCTATAAAGTAATAAATTTAAAGAGGCCCTAAACTGTAGCATCAGGCTCGGATTTGAACATTTGTTCTCCAGCTATAGTGTAAGAGGCCCTTCTTCAGAAAATAATCAATTTAAAGGTGTACAATGAAACTGGATCGTGGAGATTGGCGGGAAATTTTCTGGGGAGGGGTACAAAGCTCGGAGACAAATAGTTACATGAATAAATTTTTAAGTAATTGTTTAATTTGAGGGGGTTTGTCCACAAATAGATTATAGAATACAGTATTGTATCAATACAAAAGACAAACAAAGCATTTTATGATCGAGGATGCAAGGCTACGTATCTCAATCACTTTTACGATTATAATTTGTGGAATTTTTTACTCGATCCCAGTGGGAGCAAGGACCCTATCCACCCCCTATTGGCTGGATTTATTGGCATATTCGGGCCTTAAACACCTTAACATACAACGGGCTCTTTCTCCGCTACCAAATAATAATGGATTATAAATACAGCAAAACTTGTGTAAATCGGAATCGCCGAATATCCTTTCCGGTTTGGCAGATTTCCGATTTAAACAGGTTTTACTGTATTAATTTTTTTGAAAATGGATCAAGGCCCTATTAGCTTGAAGGTCCTAAGTTATACCTTGCTTAACCTATGCATCACTGTGTAAATGCAATCAATACGGCGCTACTAATTGCGGTGTCGCGTAACAGATACCTTATTTTAATTGGATTTTTACCAATTTATAATTTACGTAACTTACCGTATACGGTCATGTACGCCGTTTTTTCATCGGTATGCTGTTTCGAAGTCACATGACACTTGTATTCTCCAGTAAATTCCGTTGTCGGGCGTTTGAGTATGACTTGCCTATACTTGTTAAATTTATCGGCATCTTTTAAATAATGCTCCCAATCGGCGAATGGTTTGAACTGATTAGAGAATGACCTCGAATTTAGATTTGGTATCCACTGATAGGCAGCCTGACGATCGTTGTTAAAGTACCATTTTAGTACGAACTTTTCTTCGTTCAACGAATAATCGTATTGACAGTCCAATAATACTCTATCTTCTGTACCATTTCGTACCCAACGAGGAACAATCAAGTGCGTAATGTTTCCTGCTGTGCAGCCTGGAAAATTAAACTTCAAATTTATTACGTACATTCATTGGAAAATTTAGATATTATGCTACGATTAACATCAAATTGTAAACAGATACTTAAATGCTAAATAATTATAATGGCGGCGCTAAATAAACTTAGATGAGGTCCGCTGAAATTAATTTCTAACGTAATATTTGCTACGATATAATTGTTATACTGATTTTAATGTTAACGTTACTTTTACAATACGGCAATTAATTAATAATAGTAATAATAATATAAACGATTTTATGTAGCCATTCTTCGGTAGGTTTCCGCAGCGTGGCACAAAAGTCGGTTAACCGGTGTGCGGCAAAGTTAAATTCATCCGGTTAACCGACTTGTGGACCACCGTACAATTTATTATCGTGGATTTTCTAAATGAAAATATAAATTAATAGTTAAGAAATTACAGCAAAACAAAAAAAAAACAAAACTATTAAATAATAACCTTTATTATTTTTATTAAATAAATATTTTTTATGTAATGAGATGATAAAGGAGGGATGAGCGTTTACTTAAATATGTAAAAATAATACTTTATAAATTATAAACAATAGCATTAATTAGTTTTAAATTTTAATTATTTATGCACACAAATTAAAGATTTAAAAACAGAATTTTTAGTAAAACAACGGAGTAGATACTTTAATTAATCTCTGTATACCGAATATTGCAATAGAATTTTTTTTTAAAAAAGAATAATAAATTAGTAAATACAATCGGAAAGCAAAATGAAAGGAGAAGAAGAAACGAATTTTATTAAATCATAATAACACTATTTCGTCCGAGAAAATAATTTATTTTTCGTTGTTCGACTTAAATAAACTGCAACCATACATCTGCATTTCATTGTTAGAAGTTGAATGTGGAAGAGGAGGAGGAGGAGGATTAATGCTTAGAATGCCTACTTATGATCAAATTAAAAGTTTTAAAAAAATAAATAATAATTATTCAAAAAAACTTTGAAAGAATTTTAAAGAATAATTACAATTATCACAATTCATTAAAAATGAATTAAAGAAGTTGTATAGTAAGGGAGAGGATTTATAAGTATTGGAATTCTTAACATATTAATTTGCATTATTATTATTATTTTAATTAAATTATAGTTATATATATATATATTTTTTTTTCTAGAGATAGTCTCATTACTTAGATCATATCTTTTTATTTGCAATCAGGTTATCGACCTAGCAACATCCATATTTGGAACAATACATTTGTATTGAAGTGCATTGAAGAATATGAAGTATCTTGTATGGATTCTAAGTTTATTGATTTTTCTTATATCCATTGATTTATTTAATTTTCATAAAACATTATAACATAAATCGATAAGTCTTATGTAACTTTTGTAGCTACAGATTTCAGTTTATAGCTTTATATATTTTTTTGTGAGATTATCTCTGAAAAAAATGGACGTTAATTTATTATAAAATATAATATTCTCCCGTTTATTACTATAGTTACAGCCAGTATTAATTATTTAAAGATGTTATACATTAAATATTAAATATATCTGAAATGTATTTATTAATTTCATATTTATAAGAGAGGAAAACAAATAAATTTAAAAATTTTTCGAAATTATGTGCTTTAATTCACCACAAAATAATATTTTATGGTAAATTAAAGCGCATAATAAACTCTACAAACATTCTATGTGCTTTAAACTAATTTACCATAAAATAATATTTTGTGGTAAATTAGTTTAAAGCACATAAAATGTGTGTACAAAATTATGTAGAATTATTAAAATTGTACATAATTATAACATAAAATTACTTTATTTTATAGTTTCATGTATCTATATAATACTATGATCTCACTATTAAAGTAATGGCAAATATACTATAGATATAAATTTCTGATATACTTAATTTCGGTATTTTTTAATGCTTTATGCTGGAGATGGCAATACTTTTTTGAATATGCTTGCCAAAATAGGCATACAGTATTTAACTTATAGGTGGAAGGTTTAGAATTCAATTTTTTTTTAATTAAAGAAATCAAGTAGATATAATTTAAGTATAATAAATTTATGAAAAATGAAGTGAGAAGCAGGTAAATTCTTCTGGCGTGCCACTTTGGGCATTCGTCCTTTATGCAATCAAATATTCTAAAATATATTCAGAAATAATTCTATTATCTTGCTCTTCTTTATACATTTTACATTCACTATTATTGTACAACTACAATTGATTTATAGTTCAATTGTTCAAAATTGCAGTAAGGAATATTCTGTAGCCTACATACAAATACTGTACATTGCATTTTATTTTATTATACAATAAATTTAATTTGTTTAATAAATGTTTTTCTATAATATTTTATAATTTTGTACATTTTTTTGTTTTTTTTTTTTGAAATTACGAACAGTGAGGAATCAAAACAAAATGAAAATGTACTCTGTAGGTCACGACACAAGCTCGAACCTTAAGCATATTCTCTAATCTATAGTTTAAATGATGCTAAATCCAAAATAATATGGGTTTCCACTTACTTTATTGTGTATATTTATATATTTCCTCTTAACTATATATTTTATACAGTAATCCTTAATATTCTCAAATTACAATGTTCTTACACCTTCACAAGAAGTAAGAAATTATACAAATATTTTTATTCTTACATTTATTTTTAAATATAAACTACCTTAACCTAAGGAATATTCTGTAGCCTTGCAGAATATTACAGATGTATTTACGGAATATGGCCTTCGGATTGGCCCAAAAATCGGTTAACCGAGTTAGCCGACTTTTTACTATTTCGGTCAACCGACTTTTGAACCACGCGTACAAACTTTAAAAATTAAATTAAACATTCTTGCAACTTGCTTGTGATCTCCGTTGAGTTTATATAGATTTTAATATTAGTATGATTATTCGAATATTAATCAACATTGAAAATCCCCAACCAAATCATTAGAAAATCTAACAAAGTTAATTTCATTATTGTCCACCTTGGTATTCATGAAATTAGTTTAATAATGAAGGATGTTTATGAAGTATTCTATTCACCTTACACATAATATATCATTATATATTATAATAATTAATAAAATATTTTGTTTTATCTCGTAGGAAATCGTATTAATTTGTTATATACTCAGACCAACCGAGTTTAGTTTCATTAATGTCATTAAATATCAAACTAGATATATCTAATTTATATTAATTTTGAGAAGAATCTAATAATATTATTACTATAAATAAATAAATAAATCAAACAATGAATGGAATATTCTGATTTGAAGTGAATGTTTACAGTCGAACCTCCGAACAACGACCACTGACATAAAACGAAATGGCGGCTGTTGAGAGGTGTCCGTCAATATAGGTTCGACTGTGTAATGCATGATAAGTTCTTGATTAACGGTGTAATTGGTTTCTGGTAATTCGTCGTAAAGCGAGTGTCGTATTCCACATAAGATTCAATGCCACAAATTGGGGTTACGACCAGGAAAATCCATCATAATGTTTACACCAATCGTAAAAACGGGGGAAGCTAGTTGTGAAACGAGGCTTTATAGTCAAACTTCGATTTAGCACCACCATTTCTAATATAAAATTGGCTCTAAATCGGATGTGGCTTTACACCGAAGTACCTCAAAAAAGTAAGAATTGTACATATTCATAAGTTTGAGTTTGGGAACTCGAATGCTAAGCTTTTTGGAGATAACAATGTCATTTGCAATGCAAAATCATATATTTTCTAAAGGTTTCTCTAATATTTATGGAGAAAAATCCGTGAATAAGCGCTTTACTAAGGTACAGTACATTACTCAAGAGGCGCTGTATAGAGGTTGGTCTATATAAAGTCTTACAGATCAGAGTAAACATAACAGATTTTAAAAAAATAGTGAATAATGCCTCAAAGATTTTTATATTCATATGTATATAAGTAAAATATAGAATGAATTTTCAATAAATGTGCAAAATATAAAAGAATTAACATTAAACTTGATAAATTATGCCTTAAATTTGATTCAGTGCATGCAGAAAAGTGTATGCAAAACTCAGATTAACCATTCATCTAGTTTTGAAGTGAAATAGCTTCATAAAATTTCTTTATTCAAAAAAAAAAAAATTGGAGAAAAATAAAAAAGTTTAAAAATCAAAAGTTTTCTCAATATAGAACTAATATATTTTCTGTAATAAATTATAAAAGTTTTTTCTTGATGTTACGGCATGTTAAATATAATATATAGACAACTTTCCTGATAGAATCTACTTCAATAGAAAACATTAAAGTAAACAACTTTTTTCTTTAGGATTCTATCCTTAAATCATGAGTCATTATGATATTTTTATTTGTCTCTGATCAATTTAATTTAATTTTTTTTTATTTAATAAAATTTGATTCTTATTTTGAGAAAATATCAAGCTAATTCTCTTAAGAATTCTACTGCCAATTTAATGATAAAAACAATAAAAATTATAGCTCAAATATGCATTTTTGACTTTTAAATTTAAAAATGTTTTAAAAACAGCTTTTAATTAAAAAAATTGTTTTCAATTAAATTTATTTATATTATTTTTTTTATAAAAAATATAAATAAATAATGAAAAATTTTACTGCTGATATCACTCTTACATGCTCCAAAAGAAAAGAAATGGTGAATGCAATAAAATTAGTAAGGATTAATAAAGTTGTTTACTGTTTATGAATTAATAAAATGTTTATTTTTAAAGTAAAAGATTTTATTTATTTTTTAAAATATAAATTATTTTTTAAAAATTATTTACAAAAATATTGATAAATCACATTTTTATTAATTTATCCAATATAAGAGCAAGTATTTCCTCTGAAAACAAGTAGAATATTAAAGTTTATAATTTACAAATACATGTTTTAAATTTACTCTTATTTTTTAAATTAATTTAATTTAATTCTGCTTTAATCTTCTGTCATATTTTTCTCTAATCAGATTCTAATCAAGGATCTGATGTATTGTATCAATAGTTAATATATTTGTTTTTGTT